CCGAGGTGCAGAGCTGCGCGCTGCCCCCCTGCGAGTACATCTGGATCACCGGAGAGTGGTCAGAGGTGAGGCCCCGTCCCCTGCATCCCCTCCTGCTCTCAACGCTGCCCCTGCTGAAGTATTGCAACCCAAATCATTGAACTCTGGCAAGGCAGCGCCGTGGGTTTGAATTCTGATTTTTTGGTTTATTTCGGTGTGCAGTCTGCCTGTTGGATAGAAAGGAGCTGTGCTGTGGGAGACAACCAGGATATTAAAGAGTAAAATCAGCGTGCTCAGGGTCCTAGCTAATATTTCTGGAGGCAATTTTCTTCCAAAGCACAGTGCATTCAGCAGGCACCCTCTTTGGTTTTCTGCTGGTTTAGTTCATTTATTTAATTAATTGGTTTTATTCCCATCCACTCCCTGGGGGCTCTGGGGCCCTGTGAGTTGTACAAGAGTCCAGATGTGCATCATGGGGGAGAGGCAAGCCTGGAGGTGACCATGCGGGCACATCCTTCCTCAGTGCTGTCTTTGCAGGGGCAAGGACCCAGAGTGAAGGAAGGCAGGGCATTCACCCTCCCAGCTGGGAGCCAGGGAAAATAGATGAGTTTTCCTTGCAGCGGGCGCCGCGTGCGGGAGGACGCAGGCTAATCTCAGCCTGTTTCCTTCTGCAGCCAGTGAAGGATTACTTTCCAGTTGGAGAAACAGCAGAGGGAAATGACAAGGCAGCTGCTGACACAGCACTGATTAAAGAGAAAGAACAAGAAAAGGGAAAAAGGAAAACATGGCAGGACTGAGGGGAAGGAGAGCCAAGCCACCTGAGATAGTGCAAGGGGGGAGAAATGTAGAGACATGAGAATATCTCAGAGCAGCCTGGTCTCCTGAGTGGTTTCTTAAGAGAAATATTGAGGTGTTTGTGAGGCTGGAACTCTGGCTGCTCCTTGCCCAAGCACCCTCTACCCACCCCCAGTGCCTGGGAGACACTGGGGCCCATGAAGACAGAGAGTTGAAGAGATCTTACAGAGCCGGAGTTTGGCTCTCCCAGGCTCACTCAGTCCTTTGATGAGGAAGGCAAAAGTGCTGTTTATCCTCTAATTACAATGAAAAATTTCTCATTCTTCTAATTGCTGACAAGTACCTGCAATTCAGGGTCAATCTTGACCACATTCTATCTCTCTGTATCCCATGGCCAAAAAAACCCCACCCAACCAAAACAACTAATAGAGGCATTTCTGAATTCCCATGGATCTTCTGCTCCTTTCTTTGTGCTTGGGAAGAAATAACACATGGCCAGGAGCCAGCCTAGAGCAGGGAGTCCTGGAGCAGCTGTAGATCCAGCCCAGAGAGGAACTGGGTGCCCAAAGACAATGTCAGGCACCAGCCCACTTGTAGTAGCCACTTACAATATTCATGACTGGCTTAAATAGAACCCAGTGATCCCTTGAATCAGTTTCCTGTGTTGGAAGCTGTCAGGCCTGGTTTCCTCCCCTCCCATTTTGGGCAGCCCTGCTGAAGCACGTGGTGCTCACCGCTCCTTGCTGTGCCCGCAGTGCTCCGTCACGTGCGGGAAGGGATACAGGCAGCGCCTGGTGTCCTGCAGTGAGATCTACACTGGGAAGGACCACTATGAGTATGGCTACCAGAACATGGTCAACTGTCCTGGCACACAGCCCCCCAACATCCAGCCCTGCTACCTCGGAGAGTGCCCCATCTCGGCCTCCTGGCGCGTCGGCAACTGGGGAAGCGTAAGTCGGGCAAACTTCTTTTCTGGCCAAAAAGGATGGAACAACCTGGGGTTTTTTTAGACACAGACAAAAGGTTTGGCAGGGGAATGTTTTAGAGATTCTTAAATTAATGCATGGAATACTCTGGTACAGCAGCAGGCCTGGTGTGTGTAGGGCTCCATACTTCAGACTGAACCCCTTCGTATGGGGGCGTCCCAGCAGCTACAAGTAGAGTCATTCATGAAAACTGGGATGTAGCCAACGTTTGTGGCCACGTTGATGGCCATGCTGCATGCTTAGTCATTGCAGAAAACAAGGGTTTGAAAGCCTTGTGCTAGAAGGATCAGTGGGTCACTGGCAACTGCAGTTGATCCCGCTTGGCCACATGTATAAGAAAGACTTGGAAGCCAGCATTAGGCTGAAACACTGGTCATTTGAACCTTAAAACAATTTTTTTCTTGTTTTTCCCTCCCCCTCCTTCTCACAAATGCTGGGACAGGTCAGGGAAAAGAACCTGGCCTTTCTGCTAAAGTTATTTGTTTTGAGCCTCTTCTGGGACCTGAACTACAAGATCAAATTTTAGTTAGGGTGATAACATTTCACTTCTTAGGGCTTCTGACATTCTTTGAAATGTGATGTTTCTCCCATAAACTTGATTTATTAACCCAGCTCGGTCATTTGTAGGAATTTGTCAAACCTTTACAAGGTGATGAGTGTCAGGCCAAGTAAAACGTAGTAGAAGTTGTCACGGTAACTGGCAAAGCCATTTGAAACCTAAGTTCCTCCTGCCCCATAGGAAGCTTCAGATCCTCATTGTGAGTCAGCATGTAGGAATTATAGCAAAGACTTCAACATCAATTAATTGGTATTTACCTTCAGAATTTAAGTGCAAAATACCCAACTCGTTAATCCAACTTCACTGCAATGAGCACTCATTTCAGAGAGCAACACCTTCCTCCTCACTTTGGGCTGCTGAATGTCCCAGTGACCACCAAGTGCCATGACCCTTGTCAGCTGTGATTTTGAAAGGAATTTAATGTAAAATGCCATCAGCTTTGATGCACAGATAAAGTTCTACTTAGCACTTCAGCTGAATTGTATGGAACTGGACTTGATTAAAGAGTAAATGCCCAAGCTGTGAATACCATGAGCCATTGAAGAACATCTTCTTCATGGTGTACTCCTTTAGAATAATAATTTCTAAATGGATGAGCAACTTCATTTTCTTTATAGCCTAAACTGGTAGCTGTAGAAAGAGCTGAATTTCATTTCTCAAGTACTTGAAAGAACAAGTTGTGGATGGAGGAGCAAGGTGCTCCCACCTCCCACAGCCCACACTCAGTAGCTGGATGCTCTGCTGCTTGGTACCTCCAGCAATTTGTGCAATTTCATCCTTAGGATTGCCCTCAATCTGGGTGGTTTGAGGATGACCCAGTGTTTTTGCACAGATATACCTGTTTTCCCAGCAGATGAGGGGAGAGAAGATTTTGAGGCTCCATTTTTTTTTTTTGGTGCAATTTGCATGGAAAACAGCAATCTTCCTAATATGAAAAATAAGCAATTTCACTTGAGCACATGGTTCCCTTTAACCAACTGCCTCATCCAGCAAAGTGTGCAAACACTGAGCGAAGTATGGTAGTCTTGAAGTAATCAATGATAATAAGGAAGGGATTAATTACCAAAGGGACTACTCATTTGATTAAAATTAAGCCTGTGTTTGAACACTTCACAGGATTGAAGTCTTTGCTGCTGTCTCTTGATACAAGGGAAACCATCTGTCTCTGTTCTTGCTTCTGGAGCCCATAAACCCTTGAGATAAAGCAGGAATCTCTGTCTTGTGTCCCGCAGTGCTCTGTCACCTGTGGAGTTGGGGTCATGCACCGCTCAGTGCAGTGTTTGACCAACGACGACCAGGTCAGCAGCTTGTGCCACGTGGACCTGAAACCTGAAGAGAGGAGGACATGTCACAATGTCCATGACTGTAAGTCTGCAGATTTACACCTTCTTTTGCCTTTCTCATGGCTGCAGCATCTTTTCCCCTCACACTCCTAGAGATCTGCAGTATTTCCAAGCATTGGGAGCCATCCAAGTAAGGACTAAGACACTTCAGGGAAAGCTGTTAAAAATAAAAAAGATGTTTTGATGTTTTGGAAGCCTCAGAGTGTTTCAAAATAAATTTTGATGTATAGTTGTTCAGTGACTACAAGTATTTCTGTTTTGTTTCAGGTGACTTACCAAGGAATTGCAAAGATGTTAAAAATCTTGATGGTGCCACTGAAGATGGTGAATATTTCCTGCAAGTCAAAGGAAAGACATTAAAGGTGCATTTCAGCAACAGAATGATAGTTAATGGGTTTTCTAAAGGTTCAAGAGGACCCTGCCTGTGGTCTTCACTTCCACTCTTGGATTTTCTGCCTTTGGTTGTCTCAGTGATGCCTTTGCACATGACAATTCTGGCTTCTCTTTCAGGTGTATTGCTCTGGGATGCAGACTGACAGCCCAAAGGAGTATGTGACCCTTGTAAACGGGGATGCAGAGAATTTTTCAGAGGTGTATGGATACAGGTAAGAAATCCTGTAATCATGAACCTCACAGTGTTTTTGTTTTCCATGGCAATATTTCCTGGTCATGAGTAGAAAGGGTTTTCTTTTGATTCAGATTGCATAACCCGACCGAGTGTCCGTATAACGGGAGCAGACGAGAAGACTGCCAGTGTAGGAAAGATTACACAGCAGCTGGGTTTTCCTCCTTCAGCAAAGTAAGGCTGGACCTGAACACTATGCAAATAATAAGTGAGTAAAAACAGGGCCTTGCCATTAAAAAAAATGTTTCTTTTACACAAATATAGCTGTAACTACAAGCAAGCAGTAGTACTCTAGTGAGCAATATTCTTGAGAATTCCTGCTTTTAGACTTGTTCACCTGTTTGCTGCTTTAGACTGGGAGACTGAGCACATCAGAGATGCTCATGTCATTTCTCTGTAAAACAGGAAAATACTAAGGCAATTCCTGTTGTATCTGCTCTGCAGAATGAGTATTTGCATACTCCCAGCAGCCCAGTGCATTTTGTGAAGGATTTTATTTTATTTCATTTGGTCCCCTCTTTTCAGAATGGACTTGGACACAAAGCCTGACCAGGGAGGAGCTGCCCCACTCCCCCACCTGCTCCATTTTACTCAGAGAGATCCCAGTGCAGGGGTCTCCACTGGGGTGGGGATGCTGTTCCCAGTGGCCAGGGCAGAGAAGTCTCTCAGCAGAGCCAGACCACAGGGAAATAACTTTTGTTGAGGGCTGGAGACATGGATTTGCAATGGAGAAAGAGAATCTAGCTGTGCAATAAGAGTAACACACTGTCCCTTTTGTCATTCCTGTGAGCTGGGAGCCCATCCCACCACCAGGGACCCTGTAGCATTCCATGGGGTTATGGTTTCAGTCCCCTGACTCCACTGCTATCAGTTTTCAGCAAGTGTTTTAAAAATACAACATATTGTTGGGAGTTCATTCAGTAAATAGCTAAGTGGTCTTTTAGCGAATCAAAATCCTTCCCTGTAAAACGACTCCTTATCTGATAAGTGGGTTTTATCACTTAATTTTCAAGACCTCCCAGTCTATCAATCTGTAAAAAGCAACTAATAATCTGTAAAGGCTTCTAGGTAAAGATCTCAAAGGAACCACCCTTTGGGAATTTGATACCAGCTCCCTTTGAATTTCAAAAGGAGCTGGGCACCTACCTCTGTCAGGCAGGAGCTATCTCACATCCCCATCTAAATGAGTCTCAGTTACTTCAGATCCCTCCAGAGCAAAATACTCCAATTCCCTTTGAAAACCCGACCCCTGAGCTGGGGCAGCCAGGAGAGCAGAGATGTTGTTTGCTTTTGTTATAAGAGAGACTTAGAAGGTGCTGGAGCCTTTTTGAAAGTGGGGAATTTTTTGATAGTGAAATAAACCCCAAGTTAAGGGTTTGAGTTTTGTTGTTATTTATACCTTGTTCCTAAATCACCACCAGATTTAAACTGAGCTGTAAATAGTGAGTGTTAGTGTCCTGTTAAATTCAGTGCTCATGTGCTGGGAATCAAATGTGGGATGAATCAGGATATTTAATATTAAAAAATATAGTAATATTGATATCACAAAAATATAGAACTCTTGACTTCCTACATTAATGTGGGAAGCCAGCTTTGGTGAATTTAAACATTAGCAAAGACCGTGTTTACATTTATTTTGTCTCTCTCCCTGCATCTTCCTTTCCATGTTATTCACCAACTCTTCTTCACAGCAACTGATTTACAGTTTGCACAGACACATGATGGACGACCTGTTCCTTATGCCACTGCTGGGGACTGCTACAGCGCTGCCAAATGCCCGCAGGTACTTGACAAGAGCATTTAACAGGAATTGGTGCCATTTGTTATGTTCAGGCCCTCTATTAATTACTGCTGATCGCAGCAGCCCAACTTCAGTGAGTGGCACATTCTTATCTCAGCGATCTGAAACTTTTCCCTTTGTGAACAGGGAGAAAGTGATGGAGAAAGTTCCCTTTGTGCATGGGAAGAAAGTAGTTTCCATTTTCCATGTTATCAGGCCAGTGGCTGCCTAAGAGACATTCCCTAAGGCCCCAGTAAAGGAGAAAAGGAAGAAGAAAGAGGCTGTGGGGGGAGAACTGGGCTGAAAACAGGGGGACCAGTCCATGACAGGACTTGGTGGAAATGCTGGGCAGAGAGAGGAGCAGGGAGTAGTTGCTTTTCAAGTCTGTAGGGAACAAGTAACACTGTGTTAGGGATGACTTGCTGCATGTTCCCAGCACACCTACTTTTTGTGGGGCTGGGGATGATAAGTGATCTGTTTGGGTAGTCCAAGGTATTGGGTGGGCATTAACAGGGAGTCACAGCAGCAGCAGAGGGCAAACCTCTCCATCTCCTTCCCTCGCTGCTTCCAGAGCTGACACTTTCCTGCACAGCTCAGCAGCTTAGGGATTGACTCCTTACCTCAGGAATGCTCATAAATGTTAATATCCATCCACCTGACCCAGCCCATTTGCTCCTCACAGAAAATCAGCATTCCCAAGGCAGCAAGGGCAAGGAGCAAAGCTAACACCATCTGGTACTGCAGGGCCCTGCTGGGCTGTGGGTCAGCCTGGGATGTGTCCAAAGGATCCCTCCATGGGTCCAGATATTGGCAGGACTGGAGTCTGCCATGGGGGTGAGGGGAGGGCTGGGGGGCTGAGTGTTGGATGCTGGCAGAGTCCTTAATTTTCCATCCATCTTTGTCATATTGAGAAAGAGTGGAATTAAATGTTTTAAAGAAATTGAAGAGTTTTTATTTCACTAGTCCGGGGAAAAAAAAAACAAACAGTGGAAAATAAGGAAAAGAAGGCCAAGTGTGCCCTCTCCAGTTGAGGAGGGAGCAGTGAGAGCAGCTGCAGCACATCCCTGAAATTCCTTCCCATCAGCTGCTGGAGCACGTCAGGCTCTGCAGTTTGCCATGGGAAAGCCAACAATGCCCTCAGCCGGCAGAGAAGAAGCAGTGCAAAACCGGGGCAAAGCAGTGAAAACCTGGGGGAAAGGGCAGTTCGAAAGCAATCTGAAACCCCTCCTTCTCTGCAGCCACCAGGGAGAAGAAATTCCTAATGTGAGCCGTGCTGTGATTTGTAAAATGATCATGGTCAGAGCAATGGAAAACGAGGAAAAAGTTGATGTGAAGATGCTGTTAGAAAAGTGACACCGTGGCATGCTGGGAGTCTGGAGCATGGCATTTTGGGATAACCAGGCTCTTGTTGTTTTTTAGGGTCGATTCAGCATAGACCTGTACGGGACAGGCCTGTCCCTGGTGGGAACAGCCAAGTGGCTCTCACAAGGGAATTACGCCGTGTCGGAAATTCAGAAATCCCCAGTAAGCTGTAACTTTAATTATGGCTATACCTGCTCATCATTACATTGTCATTCATGGCAACATCTTCCAATAGAGACTAACAAAAAATGAACATCTGACATTAAAGTGTTGTAGGTAATTGCAGTGGGGTGAGGCCCTTGTGGGTTTAGCTTGATCTGAGTTATTGCAATTAATTAGTGAGCCTGATTAACTGTGAAGCTGAAAGTGCTGAGTGCTGTGGGGCAGACAGATCCTTAATCAGTTGCCTGAGATGTCCAGCATGGAGTGTGCATCACAAGGCAGGGCAGCAGGACAGGGTCAGGGCTTCAGAGTTGGACCTGCAGGTAGGGTCTGGTGCCAGGCAAGTGCCCTGAGCAGGAATTGTTCCCAACACATGGCTGATAAAGTATGGAGGATGTGGACCTTCCTGCTGGTCTGGGTTTATCTCCTTGGGAAAGTCTCAAGTCACTGGAGTGTTGCAGAGGCACCATCCCCTGTCACTGCCTGGGGCTCTGCAGGCTGGAACCTCAGGGTAAGCCAGACAGCCCTTCACAATCACAGCCAAATTTGTACTTGTACTGCTTAATTTGCCTGTTAACACCTCCTGCAGTCACTGTGTGCCTTCACTCTGTTGCTTCTGTGTCATATTCTGAAATGGTAGAAACCCAGAATTGCTTTTTTGGCTGTTATTTCATGTGAGTCATCCCAATTGCCCCTGTTAAAACTCTCCAAAGGAGGTCACCATCATTTAACAAACAGCAATTGGCAAAATATCCTCTCCTGTACTGCTTTCAGTCTCCCCGTGGCTCTGGGGAGCATGAGTCTCCTCTGTGCTGGTCTCTTAGAGGAGAATTAATGCTACAGGTCTGACCACACTAGAGGTGGAAGAGGACCAGCCCTGTATGTCAGTTCCAGCAGGTGCTTTTCTATCCTCCCCTTCTAAAAAGAGAGAAGTCAACTTTGGGGTTGCAGCAAACATCATGGCTGGCAGAATTAAAACAACTTTAAGGAACAGAGGTGCTCAGAAATCCTCCATCACCTGGTGGCATCTGTCAAGTGCTGTTCCAAGGGCGTAATTGCCTGCAGGAGCAGAAGAAAGAACAGTGCAGTGAGAAGAGATGATAGCAGCCTGCTGCAGTCACAGATCAATAATGTCAAGGGCAGGGTGGAGCTCGTTTAAAAATAAGTGCTTTGTGCAAGCTTGTTTTGTGCTTAAGTCCAATTTTCTGGTAATTGAGGGTTGAATTCCCCTCAAGGACTGTCTGTCCATTCTAATGGCCAAGAGGAGAAAGACTCTGCAGAGGTGAGGTAAGGAAGGCCAGATGGAGGTATTAATCTCCTGACTCAAGCCCAGAGTTGGACCCTGCTTGCTGGGCTCACCTGGAGACCAGGTCAACCTCAGGACCACTCCATACCTACCCCTACTGGCTGTGGGAAGGAGAGGAGGGTTGGTACCTCAGCAGGTGACATCACCTCACCCTGTCACTTTCCCTCCTCTCTTGTCTCTGGAGCCATTCCAGGACTTTCCCTTCCAAGTGGATGTTTCCTGGTGTTGCCTGCAAATAACCCTTTCCATGCTCAGGCAGGGCTGAGCAGTTGTTACTGGCCCAGAGTTCTGGTTTTGTTCTTGCATGAGCCAAGTTTTCTACTCATTCCTGTTATTCACTGTGGGCCAAACTGGAGAAAGCAGATATCCTTGAGATACCATCCAAATGGCCTTCTCCTTGGGCAGCTTTCAATTTATTAAATCAAAACTACCCTTTCCTATTTGTGTTCACCATCTGATCTGCTAGCACTAAAGAGAATTACCTTTGTGTATATTTGAATACAGCAGTGATTTCATAGACTGATTTTGGCATAATTTGTTTTCTTATACACCCTAAAAACCATGGCTTGAGTAACCCAGATCTGGCCCTTCTACAGCATGGAATTCCTGAGCTCTTACTGAGCTGTTATTTCTGATTTTGCCTGCAGGATGGTACCAAAGTAGTAGGAAGATGTGGTGGTTACTGTGGGAAGTGCACTCCATCATCTGGAACAGGCCTGGACATTCAGGTGTTATAGCAGTGGTGAGTTCTCAGCTGCTTCTGCATGAGGAGAATCTCCCCCAAAATGCCCTGAAGGAGCAGATCAGGCCATGCTTGCAAAAAGACATGGAGTGCATTGGTGACAGCTACCCACCCCACACAGCATCCCAGTGGGGTCCCCTGCTCCCCCAGTAACCCTTATGGATCCAGCACTGTCACCTGGAGACACCTCCCCACCTTACTGGCACCCACCTTTGCTCTGCTCTTATGCCACTTTCTCTGGTGACATATTCCAGAGGCCAGGATGACTCTAAATGTGCTTTTCTGTGTTTTCCAGATTCTCTGGGAGCAGCCAATGGAGATGAGAGATGGATGAAGGATAGTGATGCAATACCTCTGCCTTCCACTTTTATATCTGTGTATATGTGTATATAGATTGCATATTCCTAATGTACAGTATAATATTTATGTTTGGGATTATTTATTTTGATTTAATATTTTTGTACGTAAAATCATTATATTAAGGCTGCTTTTACTATTTTTATTTTTTATTGTTAAATCCTGCAGTCAAACCACTGCATTTTGCATACTCTACATTATATGTAGCATTATGACAAGTGATACTTAATTGTCACTGTATTCAGTTGTTTACTTACAGTCAGTAACTTTCCTTCAGTTATGGGCTGCTTTGGCCCTCCACGGTGCTACACAATCTGCATAGGGGTATTTTTGGCATTTCAATCTGTCTTTATGCAAGGAAATTAGACAAGATGTGCTTAAATTTTTATTTTTAGGGATTAGGCTGACAGCACTCAAGGAAAACATGACAATGAATACTGTGCTAGTTGCATTAGCAATCTTTATCTTTTAGGTATGTTTTGAAATTCACATGACCTCTGTGGCCAGTGCTGAAAGCACTGGTTTGGTGCTAACATGATATTTATTAATGCTCTGTAGTTTTAGTTAATCCAGTGCCTTTATCATTGAAGAAGGGGATAAAGCAGAAAAATTGTCAGGCAATTCAAATCAATCAAGATCTACCCTAGGTTTAGCAAAATTCCTGCAGATGGATCTTCAGATCTTCAGCTCAAGCCCCCTTTTTTTTAGGGTTCTGAAGTGAACTCACTTTTTTAAAAAAATGTATCTTTGTCTCCTAATTGCATGTGCCACTGTGCTTCCTGACTCCATCTGGAAGCGGGGTATTAACTCATCCCAGACAGGCTGATCAGGCCATATGTTTCCCTGGGCTGTGTTCTCACAAGAGATGTAGTTTCTTACAGACTTTGTTACAAAATCCTAGCGTGAGGACAAAAGCATCCCTGTGGTGTTCCCTCCCCATGGGGCTGGTGAGGACTGTGGGGACAGCACGCCCAGGGATGGGGACAGCACGCCCAGCCAAGCCACCCCTTCTCTTGGCCAGGGTGCTCCCCTGCAGGCACTTGCAGCATTTCCCCAGCTTCCTACTCACTCCCAGACCATCTGCAGAGGGAGGCTTCGCTGCCTCCTTTCAGCAAGATCACTCTGTACCTACAGATGATTCTGCCCCCCCTTCTAAAGCAAGCTGCTTTACGCCTACTCCTGAGTTGCTTCGGATCTTCCTGGTAAGGCATCTGTGCTCCTTGCCTCTCCTCATTCCCATGTACAGCCAGACATTTGCTGTTGGCTTTTTTTTAATCAAACTGAGGAGCCATGTCCCTTAGGTGTGGTGGCTCCTGCCTGTACATAGCCCTCAGGCCACGCTTTCACAGAGCTCTGTAGCACATGAACGGGGGTGATGTGACCAGGTTACTGTTGTAGTCTATGACTATGTCCCTTATCTCTTTCTCCACAACTCTACTTAGTGATAGCAAGGTGCTGCCCTTTCACCTTTTATGTCAAGGCAGCCAGAAGCACAAAGTACAAGGAAAGGAAGCTTTTCAGCATAAAATTACCAGCAGTTTGGAAAACCAAAGAGGCTTATCTGCTACTCCAGATAACTCTTTCCATTTTGGATGCAAGCAGTTACCAAACACAACCTCAGGATCTTGTGTGTCTTTTACAGAGCTCCCCAAAGGATGTGTAATCAGTGTGTTACAAAAGAGTTGGATCAATGGTGATAAATGATCCCTGGATTCATAACCTGTGTGTGGCAGGCTGTGCTCAGCCTTTGGAGTGAAACCTGTCAGCCTGACAATCAGGGATTGACACATTCCTGTCAGCTGGGAGACACCTCACAGGCAGGCAGGGCTGTGCTACAGCCCAGAGCTGGAGAACTGGTGAAGGAAAGAGGAAAAAGGGAAAGAGAAAGGGAAAAAAGGGAAAGGGGAAAGGAGTAATAATGGAATAGTGATTTTCTAATGATAATTGCTTAAGTGTAAATTCTGTTGGGGAAAAGGGAAAATTGCACTATGAAGTTCAGAAAGAAATTGTGGTGCTTTACCACTGTAAGTGAAGTGAAATGAAGTGAATGGCTATTTATAAAAAGAAATACTATTTTGACCTGTACAAATTCATTTCTACCATATAGTTTCAAGGCAGCTATTAACAGAACTATCAGAACCTAAAAAATACAAAATAAACTATAAGAGAAAAAATTACAGAGCACCGATCCTGACATTCAGTAGTAGTCATCATTAAATAGTGCAGATTTTGAGGATCAGAGACATTTCTTTTTCAGGAAAGAACTCTGGGTTTTGTATATCAATGCCATTATTTTTCTACAAACTGGGGTATTTTTTTGCAAGCACTTTCCTGTACCATGTTTCCTTTCTTTCTGCTTATACTCAAAAGGAAATGAGAATACCTGTATGACATGTCTGTATGGTCTTGCTGCATTTGCCATCGTATTTCAATACCTGTGTCCTACAATAGAGGCAAAATACTTTGTACACAAGGGAATAATACATTTAATGGTAAACATTTTTTTCTGTGCTGGTGTTTATTTCCAAGGTGTGGGTTTGATTGTCCCATGCAAAAGGAATGAGGGATGTGAAGAATGTTGTTTATATGGAGCCCTGACCCAAACCTCTGTTGGAGTCTGTGGACCAGGGACCACCTTGGAGAATGGCCATGACCACCCACTCATGTCCTGATGGCTGGAGAGGCTGATGCTCCCAAATTTCAGTCCAAGAGGACTGCTCCAACGTGCATTATATACATAAGCACATCTCAGAGATGTCTCATGCGTTGTTCAGCCGTGTCTGGTGACTGGCTGGTGCTGCCTTCAATGACCAGGGACATCCTTTGACATGGCATGTAAGAGAGAAAAGCAGTTCATTTTGCAAATGTTTTTGAATTATGAGCTGGGATAATGGCCTGGTCCACACCACTTCTAATGTGTTATGGAAAGAAATGTGCAAAAAAAAAAATCAACTTTTCTAAATTGGAAAAGATAGTATCAAATATACAAGAAAATTCAGGCAGGAGAAATTTGGTTTAAAAGGAAGCAAATGTAGGGACTGCCTCCCAGGATGACAAGCAAGTGTTGAAGTGCAACCAGTCTTACATCACCATTGCCCCAGATACTGCAGGTAAGAGTGAAGTTGCAATTTCTGTCTTCCCTTATATGCTCCTTATGCTTTGTCTCAGAAAATGCTGCAGATCTCTTAGTGCTCACAGGTTCAGCCTTTTCCAGCTTCTATTTTTTCAAAGGAGAGAGGATTCCTCCCTTGTGCTGTCTGAAACATTGTCAAATGCAGAAAACAGAACATGCAGTATTTCAAAACCTCAATTCTTATTTTAAATGACCAATCTCGTAAAAATGGCTTTTCTATAATTTATCCTTAATAAATTATTACACAGACTTTAAATGTCAGCTGCTGTGGAATTAATACACAGACCCTGAATCATATTTAACTTTCCAGCCCTGTATAATGAAAGGGCATTTTAACACTTTCAGTGCTTAGGTTCTGCGTGCTTAGTGCTGAGATTCTGTGACAATTCTTCAGTCTCTTTGTGCAGCTGAAAAGACAGAGGGATGCTTGATCACTCTGGCCTTCTGCCCCAATGATGGGCATTTTTCTTCTACAGAAAAATACAACACATTTTGTTGAAGGCTGTTGGAAAGGCATGTCTCAAGGAGTTAGCTCTAAATCAGGACATTTGATTCCTTTCCTTCCTTTCCTCATAGCCACGCTTTGAAAATTGAAGAGTGGCAGAGAAGCCTGTTCTGTTGAGTCTTTCCAACACAACTCCTCAAACAGATGATTGAGGGCTGACTCAGAAGAAAGCGTTCTGTCAGGGGAAGAGCACTGAGGTGAGACACCTCCCATCACCGGGCAAAGGCACAGGAATTCAACCCAACCCAGGCGTCATTAACAGCTCAAGTGGCTCAGCCCATGCCTTAAGTTCTCCCATCACTCGAACTCTTCAAATGGAGAACTCTTTCGACCCGGTCGTTGTAAGAGAAGTGTTTCGGTTCATCCAGCAGTCACAGCCCTTTGTGGTGTTGGTCACTTCGTGGGAGGGGACGAGTCCCTCTGCAGAACAGATTCCTGGAGGCAGCTCCGGCTTGCAACGAGCGGGAGGAGGAAGCTGATGACCGAAAGTGGTGCCTGTCAGTCTCACTCCAACATTTTCCAAGTATTTTCGCCTGTGAAGTGATCCAGGCAATTGGAATTGTAGCTTTCCAGAAGCAGATTTAGCTGACAAGTTTCTGACCTCTCTTTGCAATAGCGAGATGAAGAATGCTAAGAAGTTATTTTCAGCCTTCAGAGAAGAGTCTGAGTTTCCACTTCAAAGTTGGCTTAATTTTCCAGTTATTTAACATTTGCAAATACAAGGCACAGATTTCAGAAGAAAAAAAAAGCATAGTATTTTGACCTAACCCAAATGCCTTTTATACTATATTTCCTGGGGTGGTTTCTTTTGTTTGTTTGTTTGTTTGTTCCAATTGAAAAAAAAAAAAAACCAAAACCTGTGAAATTTTCCATAAAATTACTTCTGCCTCTCTCTAGTTATAAATATTGGTTTTGAAGTGTTTGGAGCGGTGATCTGTTGCCTGTAAGTACAAGAAGATCTGATGTAGGTACCATTTTAAGTAAGGGGAGGTAGAAATGCATTTCTCCTTTGTGACACTGATCCAGGTCCTTCAAGGCAGGATATGAAATGCAGAGGCTGAGGCCGTGCCCATCAATCCATTTCTACCAGGAAAACCTCAGTTCTGCTGGGAGCAGAATGGTTTCCACATTACATCCCCTCACAGGTTTTGGCACATGCCTGGCTCTAATGATCAGTCTGAGCCGCCAGCAACAAGATCAAGCTGCAGCTAATTAAACATGTGTTGGTAGTCAGTGTCTCCATTTCTGAAGAGACAGTATGAGGAGAAGAGCCAGAAGTCTGGAGTAATCTCTGAATACAAAACCCTTTGTATGTGGGGCAGAGGGTGCAGGGGGAGGCAGGGCTCTGATATTCTCTCTGAAAATCATTACTTGGCTCCATTCATATGCTTATAATTTCTTCACCCTTCTTTAGTCTGCGCCTACATTTCAGATGAGCAATTAAATTAATCAGGTCTTTTCTGCATTGTCCTTTTCTAATCCATCCTCTGACCTTCCTCTTTGAAGCTATTCACAGCTCGCTGCCTGCCTTCCTCAGCCCCGCACAGAAAGGAGCATTGACTGTGAAACGCTCTCATTGCTCCTGCTGCCGGCAGCCGGGAAGTGGGAATGGCTCCCTGCAAACTCCCCGGCAAGAACAGACACGTCCAGGTTATTTGCTGTTACTGGCAAATACAAGGAGCAGCAAATACAGGTGGTGCCTCCAAGCCCCCCGCAGGTGGGAGCGAGCCCGAGCAGAGGATGCCAGCAGGTACCAGATGCTGCCAGAGGCTGGAGCTGTGGCCTCATACTTGGCTGGGACTTCCCAGACGAAGTTTCTCAGCTTGGTCCCAGGTGTGAGTAGCCCTTTGGAGCAGGATGCATGTGTGTAGTGGTGGGAGCATGCAGCTCTGCACTTCCACTGAGGCTGATGCCTTGCCGGAGCTTAGAACAAGCAGGTACACACTGGTGGCAGCTTTTCCCTGCTTCAGACACAGCTGAACTGGCAAACAACTGAGACCTAGAATTTCAAACCAAGAGCTGCTGAAAGGAGATGTAGGGCAGCAGTGGCCATGGAGGTTTGTTTCTTGGCAGCACAGTGATTCTGAGCCTTGTCTGTGGGAGCAGGAGGCAATGGCCTTTCTTCTTACCTGTGCTGGGGCTCAGCTGCTGAAACATTTTGCTGTCTGTCTGTCCTTCACTGTTCTCATCCCTGAGCATGCCATGTCTCCTCAAATCCACGTCTCAGGGGGACAGTAAACCCAGATCAGTGGCACAGGAAACCCCAGCAGATCACTCTGCTGACTCTCACCTGAGCTGCTGCTCCATTCAGGTAGGACAAATGGAGAGCTGATACCCTTCAGATCCCCTTTTTAGAGATATTTCTAAATTCTGCTGACTGAACTGCTTGAAGTGGGGTATCCTCAAGACATTTCAACAGCTCTTGTCAACACCGACAGCTTCATCCTGCTCTGTGTGGAAAAATGCAGTGGGTGTGCCCTGTGCTGGGGCAGAGCTCACCTGGAATAACCCTGAGAGCTGCCTGCCTGCCCCAGAGAGGCTCTTGCCCAAGATAACCTGGCTGTGCCCTCCTCTTCAGCTTTGCTCTACATTGTGCAAGTGGCATGTGAGGCTTTCCAGGTACGGCTGGCATTTAGATTTCACTGATGGCATTCTCCCATCTGATCATTCCCAATGGCTTGAGGCTTTCAAGAACTCAAATGTGTGGCAGCATTTAACTTGGGAGAACCACAAACTTTTGACAGCAGGTTTGTCCTGGGCTGTTTGCCTTGGCTAAAGAACTGGTGGCTCCAGCAGGCAAAAACAAAATCTGAATAAAATCTGAATAAAATCTGAAAGAAACAATTTCTGGCCTCACAGCTACCTAATCTCTCATGATCTGAGCCACCACCAGCAGCCTGGTTTTGCTAGGCATTTCTCTACCCTATTTATAAGCAGGCTTCTACCCTGTAAAATGGTAAGTAAAAGACTCTTTTCTTTTTCTCCCAATCAAAAGAGACAATAGACAGCTTTAAAAACATGAGTCAAAGGACCTTTCCACCTGCAGGGTGGCAAATGAATGATTAATGTGAGGGATTGCAGGACATCTGTGACACTTCCAGTGCTGTGGCAGGGGAAGGGCAGGATGGTTTCACTCCTGCCAGCTCACCTCCTGCCGAGCTGCTGACACCTGCCTCTCTGCCAGTTACCCTAAATTGGTTTGTTTTCCCTTATCTTCATAAATGGTCCTGAAAAGTCAAAGTAGCATGGCAGAAGTGTGAATTTATAGCATAAAGCAAATAATTCTGCTGCACCAAAGAGAGCTCCAGGGAGTGAGGGGGGATAGTAGAAAGTTACTTGTTGCTATAGCACTAGGATGTTGTGTGCAAATTGGCAGAGTCCCACCTGACGGCTTTGTTTAGCCTCAAATTGAAAGGCATTAAGTAACCACATGAACTGGGGCCATCTCCCACCCCTTTGTCAGAGAGGCTGGGGGAGCTGAGCTGAGGGGTTCCTGAGCCTGACAGCAGAGAAATACAGACCTGGGAAAAGCTGAAGCACTGGCATTTCGCTTTGGAGAGCAACAGCCTGAAGGATGAGGAGTTGGAAAGGAGCAGGAGGGAGGGAAGGGAGCCTGTGTCACCCTGCCATGCTGGCATCAGAGGCCAGGGTCCCTCCAGCATCTCAGCAATGCCCAATCTGAGAGGGGCAGGTCCCTTTTTGAGAGGGTAAGTTTTATGTATCCACTTGGCTCTGCATTTCATAGCAGGTGCTCCTCTCCACAGAGTGGGACTGGGCTCCAAGTTTTTATTGGTGTGGACTCCAACTCCCAAATGCTATTTACAGGGAAATTGAAGACCGCCTTCAAAATTAACAATAGATGG